ATAAATATAGAACTTTTACTTTGATATTTTCTTTAAATTTTTATTACTTTTAATTATTTTAATATTCTTATTAATTAATTTAATTTCTTATTAGTATTTAATTTTTTAAAGATGAATATTCTTTTTAATAATCTTGATTTTATTCAAAATATTTTGATTCTTCATCAATAATTGAAAGATAATGAATTTAATAGAACTTTATAAATTTGAGAAAATCAATTAATACTTGATGATAGTAATCAAAAAGTAATATATAATCTTATTACTGGAAGATAATTTAATATTAGTATAACTTTAGAAATATTATTAGAACTGAAACTAATAGTAAAAGAAACTTTAACTTTAACAAATAAGTCACAGAGCAGTATCAGAGTAAAATGATTTGTGAATGTAATTAATATAAAAATTTCAAAAATAGTAATTATAACAAATATTACTTATCAATTTTAATCTGAGCAAAGCTAAAAGATAAGTATTCAGATAATATTCAATAATCTTTTTGATAATTGTGATAATTAATCTAATGAATTACAATTTATTAAATATTATTACTTTAAATAATTAATCAAAGAAATGCCTAGATAGTACTTACAAAAATTAATAAAATTACAAAGAGAACTAGCTCAATTTAAAGAAGTTACTTTAATCAAAAGATACTTTCTTCTTGGGAAAAGAATTCACTAGCTATTAAAAAAATATAAACTTGAGAAAGTATATAACTTTCAATAAATTACCTATAATGATCTTGTATATATAAGAAATAAAGAAATCAAAGAAATTTTAAAGAGAATTTAATTAGTCTTACCAGAGCTCAATCTTACTTAGAGGGATCAAATATTACTATAGTAATATAAATTTCTTTAATTTTATAATTTTTTAAACTTGGAAAATTTAACTAATCAATAGATTTTTAAAGAACATATAATTTTGAATAATATAATTGATATATCAGTTATGGATTTAATCATGATTTAATAATATTTTTGCTATATTCTTGCAATATTTTAGCAATACTTCAAGATCATGAATAAATAATTAGTCCTAAAATTAATAATAGTTCACAAATAGTTTAATAATAATTCAGAAATACTTTAAAAACAGTTCAGCAACAAATTTAATTTATTTTTATCATTTATCTTTTCTTTTTAGAATATATATCTTATCTTTTTATTTTATTTTGTCATTTATATTATCTTATAATCTATCACATATATCTTATCTTTTTATTTTACTTATTTATTTATTAATTCTTTATCTTAAAGTTTGTAATTATAAACTAGAATAGCAAATAAATTTAGATAGACACTTATAAAATCTCAAAAATATATAAATATCTTTGCTTTAAGACTTGAAATAAATATACTTGAATAGTAATAATTCAATTATCTTTGAAAATATTTAAATTGTACTTATTTTGTAATTTTTTTTTTTGATTTTTATCTTAATATTTTGCTTTCATTTATCTTTTTTATTGTAATAGATTATATTTTAATTATTTACAAGTTTTTCTTGCCTGAAAAACTTAAGTAATAGATATTCTTTACTTAAATAAGTCAAGTATATTTATTTAATCTAAGAAATTCTTGTAAGCTTTCTTATATATAAAAGCTTTATTTTATTTTAATATATAACTCTTTGTTTGTCTAATAATTGAAAAGATACTATTAAAAAGTTTAGTCAGTATACTAAATCTTTTATTTTTAGTATAATATTTGTTACTTTAATTTAGATATCTTATCCTTAATTTAGCTTTTATAATTATAACTTCATTTTTAATTTATTTTATTTTTGCTTTATGTTGATATAATACTCATAAGTATTAATACTTGAAAACCTTTAGAATAATTATTGTTCTCTTAATCTTTATAAATAATTCAGTCTTCATTCTTAAAATTTATTATAGATTATATTTGTGATAAACTCTATCTTCCAGAGTATAGTTTATAATAATATATATTTTAATTATAGATAATTATTAATTTATTTATTTATTTCTTTTTATTATAAATAAGTTTTTTTATTTTATATTTTTATCTCAAATTTGAATATTATTTAAAAAATAAAATTATTAATTTATAAATTGAAATTATTTATATCATATTTTATCTTATTTATAATAATTATTAAAATAATTTTATATTATATTTATAATTAATTTTAAATTAAATATAAATTTTGAGTTTAAATTTTTTTCAGATTTAAATTTAAATCTAATTTAAATTTTAAATTTAAAAATATATAAATTAAATTTATATTCAAGCTTAAATTAAATTTAATCTAAATTTTTTTAAAATATTAATAAATATATAATATATTTTAATAAATTATTTAAATATATAAAAATTTTTTAAAAAATTTATATAAGAAAATTTATTAAAAAAATAATATAATTCTTATTTTAATTTTTACAAAAATTATTAAATACTTAAAGTTTATAAATAAATATATAATTTATTATCTTAATATTAATATTATTTTATTAATTAAATTTCTTCTTAAAAAGTCTCTTATATATATTTATTTTAATATTATATTTAATTAATTTTATTATTAATATAAATTAAACTTATTTTAATTAAATTTTATTAATATTAATATTAATTTTATTAATTTTATTAATTTTTAAAATTATAAAACTTTATTTTTTGATTTTTTAATATATAATATTATAAATTTAAATATTTATTCTAAATTTTTTAATATATAATATTTTAATAAATATAATTTAATTAAAATTATAATAATATAATATTTTATAATTTGAGATATTATTTATTAACTATTAAATTTGTATTAGAATTTTATATTAAACTTATAAATTATTATATAATATATATAGTTTAATATAAAAAGATGAATATATTAGATAAATATTAATAAATTATTTTTTCAAAATAAAATTTTAATTTTGTTTTATTTAATTAAGTTATTAAATATTGAAATTTATTTAAATATAAAAAATTTTATTATATATCTTTTATAAAAAAAATTTTACTTATATAAACTTTTTTAAATTATTATTTTACTATATAAAATTTGATTAAAATTAATATAAAAATTATATAATTACTAAACTTTGAATCTTAATATCTTTATGACTACTAATTTAATTTTATAAAACTTAAAATATATATTTATTAAATTTAGAGTAATCTGTTTGTATAGTTTAAAATTTTAATCTTGTAAATTAATAACAATAATATTTAAAATATCTTTTTTTTAAAAAAATAATTTTATTTTAGTTTTTTTAGTAAAATAATATTTAAGTTAAAATATAATAGAATAATTAAAATAATATAAAAGTTTATTTAGATCATTTTTTATTTAATATAAAAAATTATAAAAATTGATTAAAATTTGAAAAATTTTATTAAAAATAATTATTAATTTTATATTAATATACATCTTTTTGTACTGGCCTATAATATGTAATAAAAAAATTATAATTTTTAATTTTTTTCATAAAATAATATAAAAATTTAAATATATATACTTGAAAATATAATAATAACTTTATTTAAAATTATTTAAATACTTATTTTATTAAAATTTATATTTTTATAATTAAAATATTTATTAATAAAAAATAAAAAGTATTTTAAATTTTTATAATTAATTTTTTCAAAAAAATTTTAAGAAAAAAATTTTAAGTAAACTTATTTACTAGATTAAAACTTTATATAATTTAAATAAATTTTATTAAAAATAGTAATTATAATTTTTTTATTATATATTATAAACTTTAATTTTTAATTTTTATAATATTTACTCTTGTATATATTAATAAAAATAAATTAATTTTATAAGATTTATATAGAAAGAAATAGATTTTATTAAATAAGTATAAAATTAATAATTTAATTAATAATTATTATAATTTTAGTAATAATAAAATTTATATAATTAATTTAAATTTATAATTATTTAATAATAAGATAATTTAACTAATATATAATAAATTTTATATAATAATAATTTGAATTTATTAGTAAAAATTTATTATGTTATAATTTTATTAATTAATTTATTATTTTATTATAAACAGATCTAAAACTTAAATTTAAATTTAACTATAATATATTTATTATATTCAAATTAATTATATAATTCAATAAATAATTATTAAGATTTTGAAAATAATAATAAAGATTGAATATTTAATTATTATTAGCAAGTAAAAGTAATAAAATTTAAATTATTAAAAAATTTAAATAATTAATAATAAGATATTTCAATCTTTATTTGATATAATTCAAGAATTATTAGCTAATAAAGATATATAAATAGCATATATATAAATATTAAGAAAAATATTTTATATAATAAGTTTATTATAAAATTATTTAAAAAATTAAAATAAAATATTAATTCTTTAAATTAATTTTTAATGATAACAAGAATAATTATATTAAGAATTTTTATAATTGTATTGGTAAAAATAGACTTTTATTAATATACAGATATAGATATTTTAAATATTTATTCTTTTCGTAATTTAATATCTTGAAAATTTTCTTTTCACATAAATTAATTTCTGTTTACTCACATATACTCTATTTGACTATTGAAGAGTGTGCCAATAACAGTATAAAGATTCTTAAATATGAATTATTATTTTTAAATCATCTTTTAATATTATAGTAATGTTCAATAAATGAATAACATCCTGAATATATATATGATATCATAAACTGATTTTTGTAAATGGGCTAAATTAATTTGGAATTGGCTTAACCAGTTTGGAATTTGAATTACGATATATCGATATGGCAATTTATCTTAAATCCCAAAGCTAGTTTTGAAAAACAGCATTTGGCAAAACCTTATAATTTGGGAAATATCACTAGTCCCACCCATTTGTCTCCGACTCCGTTGTGTCCCACCAACTTGCGTTCCCCATATCGTTATAATCTGGTTTAAAATCGGTAGAAAGTTTTTCCTCAGGTAGACTGAGACTTTTAATACGTAACTTTCCAAGTGAAGATAGAGAAATTGCTGGATAAACTTTATCTGCGATATTGCGGAAGGCTGTTTCCATTTTCCTTCCGTTTATAGAGAAGGAGAGAGTTCTTTTTGACATATCCAAGTGAGTTGTGACCGTATCACCTTCTTTGAAAGCTTCTAATTCATATCCTCTTGAGCTTGTTAAATCGTGATATGAGCCATCAGAGCTAATGCACCAACAATTAGGTTGCCAGATAAGACTCTTGGAAAGTTCAGGTTCAGGTTTTTCTATTTCAGTATAAGAGATCACTCCAATCGCTACATATTTGGTGGTTTTCTCTATAACGATATCCCATTGAAGAAAGTCTTCACCTTTGAAAGCTTGCTTGGCTATGACCATTTGACTACGATTTCTGATAAATGATTCAACTATAGTTCCGTCATCGTTGACAATTAAATGCGGTCCACACTTGGTTTTATCCCAGGTTATTTTTCTATTTACGAATGATCCTCGTGTCGTTTTCGTAGGATTATTTGAAATAGCATGAAATCGGTACGCTTTATTCAGACATTCTACGCAATTTAACCTTAAAGGATCAATTATCAAAGCCAAAATTCTCATATTTATCAATTTCAAATTGATAAGAGGTAATAAATGACCAATTTGCTTCAGTATTTGTTGACGATATTTTCGATATTTCGATTCTTCAATCAATTCCTCGTTTTTTTGGCTAAGCTCATCGCAAAATGCTTCGACAGAATCATCGGGAGGCAAGACTTTAACATACGCAGCGAGAGCTTGTGTTGAAACCTTGTTAGCTCCCCATAGGACAACATATCGAAAAACGCCGTATTCAGACGTGGCAAAGTATTCATCTTGATCGAGCGTTTGTGATAATAGCACTTTTAGCACATCAAAGGATATCTCTTCAAATGCAAGGGTGCCTAACGGAATTTTCATCATTTTTTTGCAAAGCAGTTGGAATAAGCGAGACTCTTTAAATTCCTGTACGTCAAATTTAGTGATCATTGCCGAGAAAAGTTTAACAATACTAGTTTTGATGTTACTTGAAAGTATTCTCTCAATAAACGAAAATGTAACTTCTTCCAAAGCAGGTAGAAGTAAATAATTTGCAGCATAGTATACGTCAATTGCGTTGGTAACATTCAAGTTGTTTTCATCGACAGTACCAGTATAAATGAATTCCAATACAACTTTCATAGCTAAAGTCGATATTTCTGGAAAAACTATTTCTGGTTCGTGAGTTTCACGCATTCCGTTAAAAAGCAGTTTTTCGAAAACTTCGCAGCGTGCCGCCAAAACCATCCGACAACCATAAAGAATGTCATTATTGTCTTTGTAATCAGAGCATTTGATTTTGACATCACTAAATCGAGAATTGTTTACCATTACTTTTAAATCTTCTACAAGAGATTCACCTCGATTCATTTTTTTAATGTCTAGCATGTCTAACATTATTTAATAGGAGATTCATTGTTTTTAACGTTACGTTATCTTTAAGTACATGTACATGTATTATGTGCATGTATCACAGATATAACTAACGAATTCGGTTCATTGTTGGGGTCATGCGATTACATTCATGCAGTGCAGTTTTGTCATGGGACACAGATACAAGGGACCCGTCTATCCGTATGTACAAATACTGGACAAAAGGTTGGAATCGGGAAATGATCAGCAATGTATTAATATTTCTTAATAAATTACGATAAAAAATATATCATTTTATTCAGCAAAAGTAGGGCTATTCATACATATATTTAATATCGGGT